TATTATTAAAAATTTATTTTCACAAAATTATCAATTTAGACTAAATCTAATGTACAATATTGAAAAAAATATATTGTAATAAAATTTTATAGACAAATTAGAACAAATACGCAGGTTGATCAATTAAAAAAAAACGATATCACATTTTACATTTTTCCTTGTCTCATCCTCAACCTATAATTCTCTGTCGTATCAATAACTAAACTCGAAATTGGGGTCATAACCCAAATCGTATAGACCAAAAATTTTCTTTTTCAATTTAGAAACAATATATTCCTAGATTAGTCATCCTATATAGAAAAAATTGGCTCGTCTAAATATCAAATCTTGGAGCATCATTTACACAAAGTAACATCTTACATCACGAGTTTGTCGATTGGACCAGTAGAAGTCTACAGCACTTAATAGTTTGCAACAATTGAGCACAATAGGCGATACTCTTCACATTAATCAAATAGATGGCATGTAAGTTTAACTACAGGTTGTCTCGCAACACATTAAATAATAATATGTATTTAGATTGGCAGTTACTATGTCGGTGGCTATTTGTTAGAATACAAAGTGCTTTCATCTAATACTACTTATAATCTGATAAAAACTTATTACAGGAGATATATGCATGGATACAATTTTACATTTTAATTATTACGTTAATTTTTTAGTAGCGAATGCAGAAACATTAGAACTCCAAATGTTTCTAATCAAACAGACCTCTTTCGCTTGTTCTACATTCATCATTCTATTTATAAGCTCGCTGGTTGGGAAAAATCTGCATTGCAATAAGATACGTTGAATATTTTATTCATTCATACACAATATGTGTACGTAAAATATAACAAGCCAAATAGATTGTACTCCTTATTTGCTACAACTAATACGGAAGTATGTAGAGAGTAATAAAATTTTTCTCCGCAGAAAAGAAATTTATATGTAACTGACATACGAACGGAAAGTAAACCCTGTTGATTGCAAGAATTTAAAATTGGCGAAGATACCGATATTTAAGCTTAGCTTAACAATAAAATCCGGGCCAATTAAGAACCGTCGCTTGTATGAAGTCGCTAAAAAATAAGGATTTTATAATTTAACAAATAAGGTGTTGAGAGAAATGTGGAAGGTGTAATTTTTTTTAACACAGTATTACCACGAATGTAAATTTTAAATGTAAAAATTAATATTTTTATTAATACGATTTTCTATCATTAAAATATTTTTAATACTCATTGTGATATCAAGAGATCGTTCAAAAATAAGATTTTGATTTTTTTTTTATATTATTTTATTTTATTTTTACAGTAGACATATGTATAGATGAATCACCTCTTTACCACAAGATCGATGTTCTGCTCACAGATCGTTCACATTTACTTGCGTTAACGTGAAACAGATCCGAGCCTCTGACTTATACAAACGACAGCGTTGTAAATATATGAAGAAAACCATCAGTCGATGAGATTCTTTGATGTTTCCAAATAAGTAATAACACATCAATATACAAATTGGGTTTCTATATCGATATATACCTATAAGTACGTAACTTTTGATTAATAATCAAAACAGATTTTATATTAACCAGATTTATTTGCCCAAAGTGATGTTTACACAAAGTTTAATGAAAATGAATAATTTTTTCCAAAATTTATTCTTTTATGCTTCTATAAGTATCTTTTTTTTTTATTTTCAACTTAATTTAAGAAATACTTAAAGTATACTTATCGATTCTAAACAATTTCGATGATTTTGTTTTATTCGAAACGATGTTTCCGTTTTGAAGTAACTATACATATTTGGACATGATTGTTGGTTTTTCTTAGTAATCATAACAGTTTGAAGTTCTTTTTATTTCTTAATATGTTAATTGAAGTTGCATAATAAATAAAATAATTATAAGCATAATTAAATCGACCTGGCTCACGAGGTGACCGAAATGTAGGGGGTGACGTCCACCGAAATCATTCCTATCGTTTTGTCGACGAACGGTCTTATCCCAACCAGTCTCGAACAACATCTCAGACGGTTGGGATTCTGAGGCGGCTCACTCCCGGGAAAGATGCAGAAAGCGGTGTTTTTAGATTCTGCTCGCATTGTACACCGGTTTCTCTCCCTGGGCCGACTGTGCTTTTGCCGGGGGTTAGTTGCCATCTCCTCTTCTTAAGTGGGGAGATGTGAATTTTGTGGAAATTATAAGCATAATTAAATTCCTAATGACTCATGATTAAACATAGTTTCCTACAAAAAATCGACTTCAATTGCGACAAAACCAATTACTTTGATCTATAAACTAAACTACTGGACCGATTTGGATAATATTTCTATGCGATAAATCTGTAAGTAAATTCTTTCGGATAAAAAAAATCCAAATCGGTTTAGGAGTAGAGTTGTAAGGTAAAAAACATAAAAAAATACAATCAAATTGAGAATTTCCTTCTTTTCCAAATCGGTTGAAAATAGCATAATAACGTTTAAAAGTTTTAAAATAAATGATGATTGTATTTACGGTATTCGAAAAACAAAAAAGTAAGGTGCAATTACTGACTTAAAGTAAATATTTACATAACACCTTTGAAGATGTTACGGTATAAAGTTTTCATTGGCACCTTAGGTTGAAAACTCGCAACTATTACAACACTACAAATAAACAATAGGAGATCGACGTCTCGTTCAGGTAATATCGCCATGTATTTTTCAGAACATCGATGATCCTTTTCCAATGTTTGCTCCGAGCGAAAGGTCGAAACTTCTTATGTATATTCTTGCGCGTGAACCAGATGTTGCGATTTCCGTGAAGAAAAAAAGAGATATACGAGGGGAAATTACTGTCAAGATGGTTCGCTGGTCATAGTTTTTCTATGCGGATATGCGTGAACCCACTTGCCCTAACGTGCTCGTTAAACACTTAGATAAACATTAATCTCCCCTTTGAGTTTAGGTTTATGGGTATATAAAAATATAAATACGTTAAGCCACCAACATAATAATAATTTTTATCAACGATATGAAGATAAATAATGAAGAGTCATCAAAAAGTCACTACACCATACAAATAGTGATTTACGAGTACAATACTTATTTCATTTCTCATGTTACGAGATATTAGAATACATACAGAACACTTAGAATACCTAACTACAGGAAAGTTTTCGTAATAGTAATCTATACTAATATTTTAAAGGAAGATTTTTATTTTTTGTATGTTTGTATGTAATGGATTTATAAATTCATTTAAATATTCAATTTAAAATTTTAATAATTCTTTCATGTGTAGAAACCTATATTAAAAGCGAAAAACATATTTAAAGAACATAGAGATAAAAAATTAGATATCCTTATCAAAATTAAAATAATGTAGTCTGAAATATCTAAAATTTGCATATTAAAGCTAATATAAAATACTAATTTATCGTTTTATCTATCTACCCCTGCGATGCATGAGTAGATCGCTAATAATTTATATCTCTTTTTATAATATATAGAGTTTAATTATTACACCAGAAATGTAGGAAATGTGACTATGACATAATTTGTTTCCTAAACCTATTTTAGGAGTCCTAGCTTTGAAAACCAGTTGAACGTTTTTCTTTATTATAAAAAAGCATATTTTGCTTCACAAAAAAGCAATTTAAATAATGAACATACACACACTGATGAACGACGAGGTGTTTCGTAGACATATAACATTGAAAGTATTTGAATTTAGAACGTGGAATTTGCAATTTATATTGTGAAAATGGATACAGAATAGGCAACGTCAAGGCGTACCATAGCCACGATACCAATTCAGATGAATTTAGAACCTCGCTTTTTTATTTTAATTATTATTACATATCATCATCATCATATTAATCGTTAACTGTCCACTGCTGTCCAATTAGTTGCCACACTTGGCAGGCGGGTTGGCAACCACAGTTAGGTTATGGTGACATTTTAAAAGGGACGCTGCTCCCCAACCCACGATACCCACAATACACCCAAGGAAGGTGTGGCTCATTCGATATCGGCACCACATTATTAATAAAAAAAATATATATTTATATATGTAACGTATATTTTTAATTTTATTATTCTCTGAAATTATAATTGTGTACATTTTGTATTTATAATGATTTAAATACCCCGTATAATATATAATAATATAAACCCTACCCGAACAAATTTGGAGCGGATTTTCCGTACGTACTACCTACATATATATTATGATAGTACCATAAGTACAGGTACTGTTTTAATATATGTTTGTTTAGGATACGAGTCCATCTTAATTCGTTAATTCTGTTTCAACATTGGTATCGTTATAATAGATATTTTCGGACCGTTACAAGCGTCTAAACAAGGCATTTGTTCCAAAATTGGAACCAGGACGTCGTATTCTCAATTTATTTTTATCCTTTGAAGTACTGACACGAACGACTTTACATCACAATGTTTGTGCGTGTTATTTTTAATTTTATAACTCTCGTCACATTTTTCATAGAATTATAGGTACAATAAGTATTTTTATCTATCTATCTATCTATCGCTATCGAAAAATCGAAAAAGTGAAATATTGAGAATAAAGGAGAAGATTAATTTAGAATTACTACTGAATAATTAACTGCGCCGCTTAATATTTACTTGTATATAGTGAAAGAATGCATGTTTTTATTATTTTTAAAAATATTTCAAATATTTCCTATTACCTCATCACTACATTAATTCAGTGCCGTTAAATGTACGTTTCTCCCATATTTCATTACAAACTACTAACTCCCTATATTATTTATTCTCTGTACTATAGGGAATTAATGTAACCATTGATTGATGATTTAGAAGTAACAGGAAGAAGTATCTTTATCCTATTGTATTTTAATTGAATTTTCACTATATACTCGTATTTTATGTATAAGGTGCAATAAAGCGTTAAGTAAATAAATAAATTGTATAACATTTTGAGAACGCCAGTTCAAATTGTAGCTCTAAAATATTATGATTGTGCAAAAATTGATTATAAAATCTGTTTACAGCGGAGCTGGGTGACTATGACCCACGACGGCACACGCCGGGCTATGTGTCTGAATTCCGACTCCTGGCCCATCAGACTTCAGAGCTGGAGACACGCGCCGCTGATATACATCGTACCCTCACGTAAATATCCCAATACTTTTTCTTACAACAAAACGTTTGCTAAATGAGGGATGTTTGTCACTATTATTTACTTGCATTGTTTTATATTTCTCTACTTACAATATATCCGTAAAAATCAGCGGCCTATCTTATATAGGACCAATACGGAAATAAACTATATTGAGTACAAAATAATCATCAAAATCAGCACATAATTTACTAATATACCTATAGCGTTATCGTACACAAAAATTCTGTTGCATAGGGAACCTTTATTAATCTAGAAGACAGCAGGCTGCAGTTGAAGATTTTGTACAAGTAAGGTTTTAAATTATTTAAAAAGACTTTAGTTAAGTCTTTTATCGAAATTAGATTATAAAATAAATTATAAACTGTTTTCTACAACAATTTTATAAAAGTATTATTTTTATAAAGAAACTGAATCCAAGCTGTAAGTAAATATACGAGTAGACGCACTTGTACATTTTCTAAAAGTAAATACAATGAGTATGCTACGTGCAGACTAATAGTTTCTTGTTGCTAGATAGAAATCTAAGAGAGCAAGTTTCTAGAAATTAAGCTTTCAGAAGGAGCAGTTTCAGGCGAAAAGCGTCGCAGCCCGTCCCGGAAATTAAACTTCGCCTCTTACTTGGCTAATTGAATGAATTTTTAACTGTGCAAAGATGCAGTGAGCGACCGCTGGCGCGTCAAAACCGCAATTATATGCAAATTATGTGTACCTACTTAACACTAAGTGAGCGACTGAGGGCGGCGCGGTGGGCGGACGGTGCCAAGACATGATTATAGACTGGCACTTAGCTTGTTGGCTTGACACATAATACCCCTTGTTTATTAAGCTTAATTACTTTGCTTTATAACGTTTAACTCCTTGTTTCAGAGGCATTTCTCCAGCACAAGCAGAGCTGAGTTATTTAGATAAAGTAAAATGGCTCGATATGTACGGTGTTGATCTGCATCCTGTATTGGTAAGTCATTTTAAAATCAGATTTGACAATTTAAGAGCATCGTAAAGTGTTAGGTAGAAAGGATCTACTAAGTGCTTCGTGAAAAAAAAAATTTAAAATAGTCTCCATACATTTGCTTAAATTTTATTTTCTTATTATATCTATCGTGACGATAAATTAAAAGCGTTCATATTTTTTTCGTACGTTAATGATAGTAACTTTATAGTTACTATTTTACTATAGAAATATATATAAAACATTTTTTTTATTATTTTTGTTCCAACTGTGAAGTTATGTGATTGATTTAGTATAAATGGTTAAACGTTTTCTCATTTTTAGATATATTTTTGAGAAAAGTTATCAATATTAATAATATTACAGAAAAACAGTGATTTTACAATAAAATATTGAATTCGTAAACTTTTTTTTCCCGGTATGCTATTTTTTTATCTGGCTTTTTGCCCACTACTTCTTATGCGTATATTTCAAAAACAGGAAAACCAATGAATTAAATTACTTTTAGATGGCGTATTAAAATAATTTTTAAATCAAATCTTCAATAATACGACCGTGATAACTTCATCCAATTTAACGCAGTTTTTGCGTGATGCCGGAACAAACATACAGAGAGAGAAAATTTCTAAAAATATTGTCTTGGCTTCTAGTGCTTTTAAAAACCCCTCATATATATCAAATATTTCCAATATACAGACAGTGACGTCTTTTAGTATAATTTTATAATATTACAAAGATAAGATGTTTAAAATTTATACTTTGTATAGGGCGAGGACAGCGTGGAATATTTCCTAGGACTAGCACCAAGCGGACTTCTGTTGTTGCGAGGCAAACACACTGTCGCCAACTACTACTGGCCCCGAGTTTCCAAACTTTACTACAAGGGGCGCTACTTCATGCTCCGTGTAGCGGATAAAAACGTAAGTACCTCCTATACGGTTATCGAGGCAAACTTTTTGCAAATAAATAAAACATCTAAATCTGTGCAACACTTGACCTCGTTCTCGGTTGGATCGTTCGTACTGATAGCGTACTTTGAATAGTGGTGCAAGATGGAGTCCACCTTTTGCGCTTTCTTGAAAGGCATTCGCAGGCAGGCAATTACAGATAAGTCGAGTACAACTGAGCGCAGTATTTACAGCGCTCTGGACGAGCGCTGATAACCGCTACCCGTACGGACCGACGCGACTTGGTGCCAGTTTATTTGACATTAAACTTACTATAAGACTAAAAATATTATATTTTTTTTGGAATATAATATACGGTAATCCTACTTAATAAACTCTCAAAGTTTTTAAAGAAAGAATTGAGATATTTTCATATTTGTTACTCAATCATACTTTAAAGGCAAAACGGATTTGATTCAATTTTAGCGTATAACTTTACTTATTATTGTTATTACTTTTTATAAGGCCTCCTTTTATGTCACTACTCATTAAAAATCATTGTATTTATTATTTTTATAATTGGTGCAATAAAGTATAAATAAATATACGAGTACAAGTAAATGAACTATTGTTAATTTGCTATGCAATATATTCTTTTATGTTGAAAAGCTGCATGTACAAAACAATCCTACTAGTAGTATTTAAAAATATTCCTATGTTTCTTATCTGTTCCATTACATTTTAACGACTGAACGGATTTTAATAAAGTTTGCTAAGATGGATCATTAATCTGGATTACGCATAATATCATTTTTATTCTAATTCACGCAGGCGAAGCCGCGGCTTACAACTAAGTACCTAATATTTCTACTAATGGCAACAGGTAGTATTCTTATACTAATTGAGGAGATTGGAGCTAAAGTATTAAATCACAATAAATGTTAGACTATATACGTATAGTTGTTAACTAACAATGAGGCAGGATTTATAGACAAAGATATTATGCAAATTTTCATGTTATTAATGCACGTTACCATAATTTTGTGAAATTGTGATGAATAACTGTTATAAAAGGATTTAAGTGACGTAAATTTTACGACATATTTAAATAACAATGCTTTGAAAACAAAAGGAATTAGGTATGTATTTGAATATATTGTTTAAAAGTTCCAATTGTTCATTTTTAAATGGAATAAGGTTAATTCTTGTTTCTTGAACTAAATCAGCCTTTTGTATAACAAATTGGTAGTATTTTATTTGAGCAATATTAATTATAGGTACAAATATAAAAAAGATGGACATTGTTTGTCTGACTAGATTAGATTTTTGATATGTAAAATGTCAGATAGTAAAGTTTAGTTAATATTTTTACTTATTGCACCAGTTATTGCATATGCAGATGTAGCCCGATACTATTATTTTACCTATTACAACAGTCACATGTATTTTTATTTGACGCAGAATGAAACTTCAACGTACGGATTTGAGTCACCGACCAGAGCGGCCTGTCGACATTTGTGGCGATGCTGCTCTGACCATCATGCATTTTTCCGTCTTCAGCAAACCTCACCGGCTTCCGCTGATATTTTTGCCTTAGGCTCAAGACTGAGAAATAGGTGATTTTATCAAAATAATTGACAAGAGATCAATTAAATTTTCGCTACACTTTTTTTACACGAAATACCTATTTTTATATAAACTACTAGAGATTCCCCACCCCTACCTTGCACAGGTAAATAGATGAAAAGATAAATTTGTGCTATTAGTTATTAGCTTTAATTGGCAAAATTTTATATTTTTGGTTTATTATTACTTTATAGCTTATATTTTATTCTTTCATAGGGATCTCTATTTTTTTAATAACTCTATGTTACTCGCTGATAATATAGCTTTTTATAGGTGAAATAATTTAAAAAATCGGTTGAGTTTATCCATTAAAAATCCATATAAATTTAAGTCAAAACGTAAAAATTTACACCAGTCGTCGTAAACACTACATGATCGCGTTCGTTTATTCTTAAAACATAACTATAAATACTATATATTGAATACTAAATATATATATATATATATATATATATATATATATATATATATATATATATATATATGTCATAACTGTAATTACTCCCTAAAATATATAAATCTGCTGACAGTGGACGTGGAAGCAGGCCCCGACCACCGCCAACGTTCAGCCGTACACCATCACGCCGAATCGCGCGCCCCCCGCACGCATCACACACTTCCTTGCATGACGGTAATCACCCTATAATCATGAAGCATTTTTACTATCATTATTTATCACTTTTTGTCTGCATCATGTAGAAAATTTTTTTGTTCCAGTGCCAAAATTAGAAGATTTGAGAATAAAAGACTGCCCCCCAGAAGTTAAGCAACCTACCTCAGTTCATCGACCGAATTCGTGAGTCTCTATCGCTAATAATTGCGCTATGTATCAAATATAATGAACTTATAGATTATAACAGTAAATTCTTGTCGAATTAATTTAAGTCATTTACTTCAGATACAAAGTAAACTAATTGTCTTATCCGCGAACCCAATTGAATTATTACAGTACGTGCATTAACGTCTCGCACGTATTTAAACGTATTATTATGCCTTTGAAAATATAATTTCAAATTGTGATTTTTTTAATATCGATCAGTTCGATGTTTTTAGGTTAGTTCAAAGTTGCTCTGTAGTTTATTTATCTTTTGAGATGGTTACTGTTCGAATAAAAACAAAAACTAAGAGGTCCTTTTACCATCATACAAAAAAAGGAAAAAAATGTATTATGTACAACGTCAAAGATAGATAATTATTAAATATACCTATTGTAGATCAATAGGTAGTAATATTCACACAAAATATCCATATCCATAAATTAATTGTAAGTTATTTAATATGGCTAAATCCAAAATATATTTTGTAACGAAACTTTGAATCCACAATAAAGATCCAAACGTGCCTGCGGCGTCTCACTCAACATAGCTAAATATTTAACACAAAGTGCTCTAGTTCAGTTCGGTAAATAACTTAGATACCTAGTCCTTTTGGAATTTATGGCTTTTGTAAAGAGCTGTAACTGTAGCTTTGAACTAATAGCAGCCTACACTAATGAGTTTGTATATTTTAACTTCATTAAAACATTCTTTATAAATAGAATTAGCGGCGAGGTGACTGGAGGCCCACCGTCGATGGGGCCTGGTGGGTCCCCGAGGTCCACACGTTCGGCTCCGACGCGGCGCGGGTTGTATTCTGCCTCGCCGACTGCGACCCGTCCACCGCCTGCACCCCGACACAGATCTGCCTCTGTTGATTCACAGAGTTCCAACGATTCACGAACTAACCGCAAGTAAGGCCCAGATATGATTTAATCCGTCACATCACACAAACTGACAATTTATATAATTTATTAAAACAAAATCAATCTATAATATTTATCGACGTAGTTCATATCTATAGAAGTTAATTAACACTTTTACTAGGAAAAATGTTCACAATTCCAAAATTGTATAAACAGCTATGTATAAATCTTGATACAGATTTTTTGTGGCTTCCAAAATGTTTGTTCTGATAATTGCGTCATTTAAACTTTACTGAAAACCATTCATTGTTAGCTTTATTTAAATTTAATCGAAAAGCTTCGGTTATAACTTTAGTTTTCGGAACTGAAAAGCTGATTCAAATGAAGTTAATGATTACATTTTGCAATTATATTCAATTGCAAAATTAAAAAATAATATATATAAATGTATTTCAAAGTTTTTTAATCTCATAAAGGTGGTAAACAAGCTTACAACACGTCTGATTACAGAATACCAACACCAAAATTGAACCAATTATTGGCCGTTATTGACCTTAAAGAAAGTGCATAAATGAAGGAATGAAGTGAATAATTGTTGTAAAATTGTGTTAATAACTTTATATTCATACGTATTATTAAAGTTTTAAGATTACACGCATATCTAGAAACTTAAATTGTCGTTCATTGTCAATAGACATAAGCATAGGTCCCGCCGTCAGCAGTCAGATGCGGAGAGCGAACTGTCTCGTGGGTCAGGCCGATCAGGACGACGGCACAGGCGCCACCGTTCGCGGCACAAGCATGAGTCTGGCTCCGAGAGAGACGACTCCCAACCTGATGCCAAGTTAGTTATCCATGATTTTGTATCTAATAATTCATAATTCAAAAACAAGTAGGTCATTTAATTGATTAAGAATGTGTTACCAGTCATTCAAGTCCCTAATGTATACGTTTATATAATGAGAAAAGAATATCAAGTGATATAGTGATAGATATTATAATCATATCAGCCTTTATTTGTCCATTGTTAAACATAAGCCTCCCTCTTGGGGGGTTTGGCCAGTAGTTGCCACCCTTGGCATTGGCAAGCGCAGTCAGGCTTTAGAGATGTTTTTTTGGAAGGATAATATTATAATAATAACTTTATTTATATTAATTATTAAGTACAGTTGCGGTTTTCCGAGCTTCTAAAATCTGCGTCTTAAAAGTTGATGCATTCTATAACAGAATATGTTTATAATATAAATTATAAAATACCTGACACCTATAAATCAAATGCAATTTTTATTAATATTTATTTGTGTTAAACATATACTTACATAGGTACTTATCAAAAGCATGTCAACTCATTGTTTGTGTATCTTTTCGCAATATGCAGTTTCATTATGAATACGAACCATCCGTCAGCTTATTTAAAAATAAATTTAGCAGATTATAAAGATTAGGTATTTTTATAATTTCTGCTAAACTCTTCTGTTTATTTCACAGAGAATATGAACTAATAGAATCAGAGTCTCAGTGGAAGGAAGTACTCAGACAAACGAACGCTGGTAGCGGCGTTCAAGTAAGTATTTAATAATTTGGCGCACTTATATTTATTTATTATTATCATTGATTCTTAACTTCCATAACTTTGTAGGTAGCGAATGTTCGACGGTCACAAATGGAACCAGAAACTGGAACACATCGATCTTCTCATAGACATCGGAGACACAGAAAACATAGGTATGTGTTTATAACTTTCTTATTGTTGTAAATTTATCAATGTCTTTTACACATAACATCCATATTTGAAACGTGATTTATCAGGTCCAGATCTGGTTCTCCGAATGATAAGAAGTGGCTACCCAATGAATTAAAACAGCATTTAGAGTTTTCATTAGTCGATACCACGGGCATGACTGAGGAACAATTGAAAGAAATACCATATACCGTAGTCCAGACAAGTCACGCTCGCCAAACTAAGCTTCGGACATCTTCTAAACATAAACAGTAAGTTTGACATATCTTTTGCAATTACTATCTATTATAGAGTATTTGAACTAGCCAATAATTTTTTTCTTTTTATTAAGAGCTGAACATGGATCGTTGGCTAGACGAGAGAAGAGTTCTTCATTACACGGCAAAAGTCCCCATGACAGTCACAACCAAGGGTCACTTAGATCTATTTCGAGTACCTTGAGTACCCATAGGACTAATAATGAGAAGCATGGACGGTATGTATATGCAGGATTAAGATAAATTAAGATTAAAAACACAGTAATATTTCAATCGTAATAAAATTAATGTGGAATCAGTCTATTGCATGTAAAATCATAAAAATTGTTACAAAATTGTTAACTATAGACCGCATCATATAATTAAAAATACGATTTAATCATGTATTAAAAAACTTTCTCCTTTTTGAAGTCGTTTAAAACATACAAATGAAATAAATACAAAAATTTAGATCACAAGATTCTTTATATTTCAGGCGTATATATCCCAGCTTTGACGAGACCGCTGGACGAAATGGGGATGATTTTCTAACAAACAATGGATATAAAGGAAATGTCACACCGGTATCGAACAATAATAATCCGTACAGTCCGGTGACAAACAGTAATAGTAATAGCTCAAGTGGGGAGCTGATAACAGGCAGCGCGAGGGTATCGCACGAGCACACAGATTCCGGGCTAGGAGCTGACCAGGATTACGCCTATTCTTCTGAGAGGTGATTTCAATATAATTAAATTTATTTCAATTTCATTTATTTAACTATATATTTATACTTATACATCATCTATAGCAGGTGATATTTATATTATACATAACTCATTAATCTATATTGATAACAACATGTGAAAGTACGAATGACTCTGTCTGTTACTTTTTTACGCCTAAACTACTGAATTGATTTTGGCATAGAGAGATTGGATCTTAGAAAAGGATATGGGTTAGTTTTTGTCGCGAAAATAAAACTAGAAAGAATTGAAATAGAGGACGGAAGTTTGTATAGGAAATCAACCATTTGTCAAGTAAGGGGTAACTGATAAAAAAAAAACAGGGGAGATCGAAACAAGTGAGAACATTGGCAATGGCAACCGTTTCTGTGATGGCAGGTCCAGCGACAGCACCAAGGGTGGCGCGGGCGGTTCGACAGCGCCAGTGAGTAGGCAGTGGACGGGGACGGGCGGTGCTGGCAGCGCGGGCGGGTGGCGGGATGGGCTGGAGGTGCGGGCGGCACGGGCGGGCGCGCTAGCTCGGCGGCCGCCGGCGGCGCCCAGCCGAGTCACCGGCTCGCAGCGCTCTCTGCTGTCGGTCGCCAGCGACAGTGTTACCGCGCGCCGCCCGCGCGAATTCGCCCCCCGCGGATACCCTCACGCCGCGGACGGTGGCTTTTCTCTCTTTGTGAGTGGGCGCTTTGCTTCCTAACACTCTTCCGCTGTCCGACGGCCCTCGAAAAAAGTGACACTAAGATATATTCTATAATTTTTTTCGATTAAAAAAGAATCATGAAAATCGGTTATAAATTAGTGAACATTAAAATTTTCTTTTCGGTTTATTCTTTTTTATATGTCATCGTCGGCGTTTCGATAAAATCTTGTTTACAGTCAATTGAAAAGAACATTGAATATTCTAATTTATTTTCCCTTGTTGAATTCTTTTAAAACACATATTTTAAATCACAATGTATCCACGGAGATTTAAATAATGATATTACTTTATCCCCAACTTCCCCTTTGTATTCGGTCGGTCAACCAGAAATGAAAACACAAAACATTATCAAAATAATGTAGGTTCCGTCCTTTGTATTTATTTTTACCTGAAGAGAGACCCATTAAAAAGTGAAAAATGCCTTCGGAATTATATTAGCTTACGAGGGCCGTCGGTAGTAATCCGCAGCTCCTGTTTCTGGCTCGCTGATAAAGCTAACCGTGTACAGGCTGCTGAAACGTATAATAATTCCAGGTTTTTACGCCATTAGGTAATCATGTATATCCTATATCTAAAAGTTTTAGGCATATATACGAACAGTTTTTTCTTTTTGTAAATGATTTTGTATCATATTGAATATATTATAGAGAATGTTACAATTAATAAAGTAGGATAGCCTAATTTACTGACTTTAGTTATATTTATAAGAGAGTATCTACATTATATACATTATTATGGTTAAAATTTAGTACTTGGTGACATCGTTATCTATTCACTTCTATCTATGCTTAGGGAGCTTACACAATGGGGATTTAAAGTGCTACAGTGGTTTTCTAAATTGTCTGTTTATATACGTGAACTCAAAATTCGTAGTACAATGTACAATTAATTTCAGCCATACATTTTTATAATATTATTTTGATAAAAAAATATTGTGATTTGACAATAGTAATTGCCACTTTAGTGCCTGCGGCTTTTATGTTTGGTAACTATACCTATATAAACCTCACCTCATATGTTTCAGATTATGTTGTACTTATTATTATATATATAGAACTATGGTTTGCACCGGTAGTTTGACGTACATATTTATGAATTGGGATACACAGAGACATGCTAGCAACAACAACATATTGATCGGCGAGAGCGGGTCGCTGGCGCGGCGGTACGCGCGGCCGTCGCGTGAGTCGCGCGACAGCTCGCGCGACCACAACGCCAACCTGGCGCGAACGCATGCGCGCCTTGCGCACGCGCACGTACGCCATGACAACACCCTCGACATTATTCTTAAGCCTCTCATAGAAAGCACGCAGTAAGTAAGGCCGACACCGGAGTCCCACTATATGTGTCGCAACCAGTAGCGGAATGAGTAGCTGCACGCACCCTTGGTTTGTTCGTGATCGCGGTTCAAGATCGCGCTGCCCTGTATGCTCACGAAGGCGTTTGTGTTTTGTTTTTGCATGGGTTAAGGTCTTTTTTAGCTTAGTACACTAACATGACACTAACAATTAACGCTCGTTGTAACTGTGTTTTGTTTTTTTGTTTCGTGTCTTTAATTGTTTTGTGATTAAATAAAATTAACTGTCAATCATCATTGTCGTTTACTATTCTTCTGTTTTGTGTTAGCATTTAACGTATATTGTTAAATGTGTTGATGTTTATGAGTTATATATTTAAAATAATTTATTTATAAAACAGGCTGCAGAGCAATTAAATCCGGAGAACGACACATCTGTTAATGTAGCAGAGACTGCTTTGAAGTCGTCTGGTAGCATCAAACCTCCCGGAGCCGCTGAGATGAGCACTGAACTGTAAAAAGGAAAACATTTTAGTTGAACTTAATTGTAAATATACCTATAATACGTATTCTATTCACATTTTAATTCATAAATAGGTAATGCGTGTTTATAACCGTTGCTAAGTACCTCTAAATTGTTATTTTATTATGTTTTTGTTACGATGTTGTGTCAACTTTTTAACTAATAGGAAATAATTATATGGTTACTTATAACTATTAGATAAATTTAAAAATAAATAGTATGGAGCTTTTTTGGAAATATTGAGTCAATAACGAAAACCTTGGTACGATAATTCCAAAAGGTTTCCATTTTAGTTTTATAACGTGACGTAAGGGAAAAGATATCACAGAATAATATTACTAGAGATACGAGATATCGTAGATGGGCTGAAAAAATATTACGATGTGATTTATGGTAACCTAGCGAGAAAGGTGTGTAGTAAGAGAAAAATCTATGGTCTCCCTGCGGGGGACACGCGCACGTATTGCGTAATACATTGTGTTCTGCCTATATGTATGTATGTACGTACCTATATATTTTTTTTTGTAAATAATACGACATATATTCCATCTATAATAATCATTATTGTAACAAATTAACAAAAACGATAGACTCTTAATGAAACATGATTTTATGCCAAAGAAGTTTCATTCTACCAGCATTACATTTGCCCTCTCTACAGAAACTATAATTTACTTATGATAAACCTATTAAAAAGAAGAACTCTTAATTAGGTGTACCGCTTAGGTTATGTATGTTATAGGAAATAATTTAATTACACTTAAAATTACAACAATATTGGTACTCCGTCCACATCAAATTAGCTACAAGGAAAATAAATATTATTTTAAGTTACAACACTATTATACATGTATAGTTGTACAACTTTCTTAAAGTTGAGTTCATACTTCATAAGTCATCTTGTTTATGCTTGTAATACGAGCTATAGCTTTATTATAGCTCCATTTGTTATTACTATTATATATTATTAGTATTATTGATTTTATTTATGATTATATTTAAAACATTTTTTTTTATAATTAGTTAACAATAAGTATAAATGTACATGAAATAAAATTCAAAAATAGTGTAATAATAATTCATATAAAATAGGTCTGAATTTTTTATAATCTGCAGTAGCTTTTTTTTTTTAAATCGAAAACAGTTTCCTTTCTGCAAATCTTTAATCTAAATCAAATCCTATTTTTGGATGTTATCGTTATTTTTTGCCAAATTTATAAAGAACTGACGTTTTGTTTTTTATGAAGATTACAGTAGGTAATAATAGATGAAATATTCTCTCGAAATATCGTAATGTTCAATCGGCTTAACAGTTAATGTAATGTCAACAACATTTTATTTTATTTTGTATTCATCCCATTTACTAATTTATTGTTTTAGGTTTATTGTAATGCAATTTATATGCGTTTTGTTAGAAATGAATAATTCATTATTTATTGATACTTATTAACCCTAATTTATTTAGGTAATACGTAACTATTTGTTAATTCTACAGACAGAAAACATTGATATAGGTACATACACATACTGTATTCAGCTATGAACATCCTAGTAAGTACTATAAATATGATAGTTTGTTACCATTAAGTACTAAAACAACTCAATCAATCATCGTGAAATTTGGCATAACAGGTAGTATTTGGCATGGAAAAGGACATACATAAGTTACACTTTACCACTTATAAATATGTTACGAAGATGAAGTCACAAGAAGTTTATTATTAAGTGGCCATACATCCTAAAGTCCACTGATAAATCTAACTTGAATAAGCATATATTCAATGAATAAAAGATATTCTTCACAATCAGTTCTAGACTATATATAAATTTGATATATTTTCATCAGAAAGCGGTGCACCTTATGTTATTATTTTGTTATTACTCGTAGCATTAGTTCAGATTGCGTTATTTATTTACGATTATAAACAACGGGTATTAATATATATTACCAGTCTCATTATAATATGAAATTGATGTACTGTACAGTTGTTATGTAGTTTAGTATTTAATTAATACTATTTTTTCAGGACGTATGTAAAGATGCAAACATAATAAATGTTATATTTTATATTGAGGTCCTATTTGCTCCGTTGAGCTTAAATAACAAGGCCAAAGCTTTGTGTCTACTCAATGTAAGAAATCTTACAATGTACGTAGTCAACATACCTATCATATGTGAATTTGTCTTAAACACACATAACAATTGTTATATCTACACGTAATAGTCAAGCTATTGCCTTGTGTATTGTGTTTTAAGTTAATACACTTATTTCTATGAAATAAGTATTAGTAACATTATCTCCTGTGAGGTTTACACGATCTCAGTTCTACACAATAATATATAATGATAACATGTACCTCGTGTCTATAACAGACTTTCATGACGTTCAAGATTATTACGATGTAAATATTTATAAGTTGGCAATTAGGTATTCACCAACACCAAAGTAGCTACTTGAGTTCTGCTGTAGATACGGATATATTTTATCATTTATTATTACTCATTAAATAAACATGAACTGGAAAATACATGACTAAAATATCTAGTTACATGTTATTTTCATGTATATAGCGTAAAAATATAGTTTGATGTAATATTTAATAACTACCAGTATTTCTAAATGTTATAAGTAAGAAAACATTTTAATGTATAAGTGTAGGTATTTAAATAAATAAAATGGTATATAGTCGGTCAATTTGTACTGTGGCAAGACTGAAAATGTATAATTTTAACAATGTCCCGAATGTTTGTAATCATTACATTTTCCTATGTATTTTTTCAAAATCATGGCCGTCGTTTACATTAAAGGATAATAATTTCATATTGCTTGTTTTTTCTTCGAACTCTTTACCATCATAAGTATTCGTTATATGACATGATTTAGCAAGGTAGACATCAGCCGTTAAGTGTCCACTGTTGAAGATAAGCCTCCCTTTTGGGGGTTTGCCAGTAACTGACACGCTTGACAGGCGGATTGGCCACCGCAATTAGGTTTTGGTCATGTTTTAAGAGGGACTCTGCTCCCCATCCCTCGACTAATAAGTTCACTTAGTTGCCTCATACGACACCCACGAGAGAGGAAGAGTGACCCATTTTATGCCGAGACCACACGGCGAAAAGTAATATGAGAATTAGACTGTAAAGATGAATTTACCTACTTTTGATTTTGGATCAAGCGTCCGATTTCTAGTTTCTCAAAATTATTATTTAGCGCAAAACATGTTTATGAGCCTTTAAGGAGCATTTCAATTTCATTTTCAATTCGTAAATAATTATATGAATTATATATATATATATATATATATATATATATATATATATATATATATGTTATGTAATGTTAAACAAATCTTATCTAAACAATAAGTTTGGAAAGCACTTTAAAAAATAATTTAGGAATAGTTAAAATCATTCAAATGATTTTGAAATTTTACAGACTATATAGACAGCCATTACTATCTTAATATCTGTCACTATTAATATTTATGAGAATCGACACACAGAGATGGACAGTGGAGAAATATCAAGAATGGTTATGTATTATCTGATAAAGAACAAAGCGTCAGTATTAATTAAGCGGTAGTGTCTCAGATATCGACGGACACCGCCACCCATTAACACTAATGAGGATGAGTTCAGACTAAAACCGTTACTGGCTCTGTCTTTTGCTCTACATATTACCTACTGTATCTAATTAAATGATTACTGAGATAGATCTATATCATTTCTTTTTATTTATATAACATTTACCTGACAAATAAAAAGGAAATTCACGTTTATTTATTTTAATCCATGTATTTTAGTCAAAATATTTAGTATAAGTGTAATTAGAATGTCTCGTTAGATTTTTATATACCTATCAGATGTCACATTATATTTTACATAAACAGATCTATAATTTGATTTTATTTAAATTTCGACGAAAAAGAAAATAAAATATGGGTTTTCCAAGAAAAATACACCGAAAATTCTTGATGCTATTTACAAAATAAGGCCACAATATCAATACAATCATAAATTACCATTATCAACGACATTTGCGAGGCCTCAAGTGTAAACGAACGATCAATGTAACTAGTTGAAGTAGTGAAACTAGGCCGCGATAATTTTTAATTACAAAACATTATAACTTTTTTAATTTACAAAAGTAAAATTTATAATATTTTACATTGCCACAATCACCGAATAAAACATTTTAAAGCTTGGAACAACAAATAGTAGGATTTTTATCGTTATGACCAACAAGACGTACTGACTTGTTATAATTTTAATTGTGAGAACCTGTAACTTTTCGCTAACTTTTAACCGACCTTTATACAAACATCTTAATATTTACATAATTGAGTTTGCTTGGAGTTCAGTCATATTTTGTATATTAAAACAAAGGATGAAACATGTTTATTCTCACCCTGACGAGTGCAGGTCTATAACAGTTCTGATGTCCACTAATCAACGAAGGGTGAAAACTCATTAGGTACCAGTATTTAATGAAAGGGTTCCCGGGGCGTGTATGATTACTTGTTAATTGAAAGGTACAAAATCAAAGGGCGGCGAGACAAAGCTACCTTGCAAACTAGAAACGGATTAATAATTTTTACTACGTTGTTCCTGTCGTTTTTATTATAATATGATTCAGTACGGGCATTAATTTTATAATTATATTTAATTGTTAATATCCTGTTTAGTCTGAATTAATAATTAAATAACAAATAATTACTGAGGTAATTGTACACCTACATCTAATTATATATCTACGTATCTTTTTGACAAATTTTAAATAGTTTATGTTATATAAAAATCCTTTATTATTATTCCTGTATGCAGTGTTATGGATATTATAGAATATACTGCTCATAGTACTCCTTATCTCATTTCTGAGGTAAAAATGTTTTACATCTTTTATTTTATGTGTAAGACATAGCAGTGATATTATAGGAAATTTCAAATTGAATATAAGCTCGGTTGCTTGCTGGCAGGAACACAAATGGGACAGTGACACCCATAAACATTCACACAAAGTCTCCTTGTATAATAATAATATAATTATGCTATATGGATATTATATCGATATACAAATTCTACAGATATAAATATAATTATAACTAAAAGTATTATAAATTAAAGTAAAAAACCTAGACTATACTTGTATGCTACGAAAAAATCTGCAACATATCTGCTGACTTGCATTACTCAGAGTCAAATTTACACATCTTACATATAATTTGTAAAGATCGATTGTTTTATCAGAATGCATTGATTTAAAGTAGTTATAGACTGAACGTTGCTGAAACAAACATTAGATGCGAAATTTAATAATTTACATCTTAAGTTAAAAAAGCATTCAAAATACTATTATAAAGATTAAAATGCCTAAAGCACGGTAAGGGATAAGTATACTTTTGTTTAATTTGGTTGGTAGACTTATGTGTATAGGTATCTCTAATGGTAGATATACGTAAGTACATTCGTAATCAAGCTGAGTGCTTGTCGCCATATATTTAGCTCAGAACGAGGACTTACTCTACATATTCAAAGTATTTCCAGGATTTCGAAATAAATCCGCAGCAAAGTTAGATATTATTTAAGAAAATGTTATGGTACTGTAGCCCACAAAATTATAAAAAAAAAGAACTTTTTGCAACAAATATTTGCAAAGGCATTGCTTTAAAACAAATATAACCAATCTACAAAGTACCTGGCACAGAATACAATGAAAATATGTTTTGTTATTTCAAACTTCGTCGCAAATTTAAACTTCCAGACGTCGATGATCTAGACATAGAGTAGTAAAGGGACCTTTTGATAAATAACTAGGTACCTATATATTTGCAAATCTTACTTTTCATCATTTTTGAAAAATATTAGAAATTCCTTGCTCTTCTTGTATTTTGTGAAGAGGATTATTACGTAATAGCTTGGTAAACAAAATTTTTACCGCTACATGGTAAAAAAATAGTTATGATAATAATAATAATATAATAATTTTATACATAATTTCCCTTTTTTAATAATAAAATATTTCTCAGGTTAATTTATACTAATTATAATATTAAAGGAAAGATTTCATTGTTAGTTTGTAATGGTTGAACTCAGAAACTACTCAACTGACTTTAAAAATTCTCTCATTTATAGAAAGCTACATTATAAGCCAGTGTTATAGGCTATTTATTATTTTCGAAAATCAATCTACCCTTGCGAAGCTGGGGTGAATCACTAGTTATTAATAAATCGCTATACTGTAGCTAACATGTGTACAAACCAACTAAAAGCTTATAACTCATTACTAAATATGATTTTAAAGGTTTTTCAAAATTTTAATTAGTTGGCTATTTTATCTATTAAAATACTTGACAAAAAATGATAAAAACTACACGATTCATTATCAGCTATTGAACATTTGCCCTCCTCCATGAGGTGAGACAAGGAACAGTGCTAAGTCATCTGTATCCAGCAGTGACGATAATATTACACAAAATAGAATTGCGGTATAAAAAAATAAACGCAAATAACGTGAACGTGGGAGTCAGAGCCCCAAGAGGAATAAGCATGAGTTTATAATAATGATGTGCTACGCTCAACATTTTTCTTGTATTCTTAAGAAATAATTACGGCTGCGAATAATATTTCTGTTATTACAGTTAGAATTATCAAGATTATGAACGACAGTCATGGCTTGTCATATCACTAGTTTGACTATATCAGATCCCCATCTAAAACTATGTGTCTCTTTTAGACATAGGTACTTTCCTGGAAAATAATTATTAAAACCATTGGACATTTTAGTTTACAAAGTACATATTTTTTATTTTATTCATTCCAATATTAAAACATATTAGGAGATAGAAATTTATACAAATATGAATTTCTAATCGTATACCTTACTAGACTACTTGACTCTTGATTATAATAAAAGCTATCTGTTGTGGTAAATTCTGTACCACAAACGCTTTCGAAAATATCTTTTGTAATGTTATTTTTCTAATTTTTTCGACATAAATTTTATATAGGAACTCTAATGGAAATTCAGTAGAATTTATTTAATCATATTTACGGCCAACAACACGCAAAGTACGACATAAATTTAAAACAATATTTGTGCTATAAAGCAAACGAATAGTTTACCACTTACCACCGTGATTTCGTTTCGGACGTTTTTATTGTATGTTGCACCCACGCGTCACATTCAAGTATTGAGCAATTAGCCTTTGATACAGCTCGTCGCCAAATCATATTTGCTATGGCGTTTCTTCTGTTAAAGGCAATTTAGTCAGGCAATATTGAAACGGAAATGGAGTTTACTTTGTACCAATTTTCAATATGTAGTGTGGTATCTACTCATCCTACCGAGTGTTTTAATATTTTAACTTGTCACATATTCGAATTTAACATTTATACGTACTAATATCAGTAGCTATGTATAATATAGGATATATGCACTTTGTGAATGTGCCATCGCATTTTAGTAAATATACACAGAACTATCTATTTAGGCATATTTTATAATTTTCTAATTACTTGGAACAGGTGTAGTTTAGTATTCAAATACTGAAATACTCTTACCTGGTATAAGAAAATAGCAAATTTTTGGATATTATAAATATTTGGTTATATTAGAACTTTATAAAACTATATCTTACACGTTCCTATAGGTATAATTAATAATTTAAAAATAGATTTTATGTAAAATCTATTTGCTTTTATCTATATTAATCTCGGCACAGAATAAGCTGTTCCTTTCCCGTGAATGTCTTAAAAGGCGACTAAAGGAGGGCGAGTGATGAGCAGCGTCCTTCTTAAAACATCTCTAAAGTCTAACTGCGG